TTTTTAAAATAGAAAATATTCTTTTTTATTGATCAAAACATAAGTTATATAGTATAATTGTTTTATTAACAGAAGAAATAATATATGTTTTATCTTAAAACTTGATTAAAAAAACTATAACTGCAATAAAAAAATAATGAGAAAATAATAAAAAAGAAATTTATATTGTTTTTTTTTTTTTTTTTATGTTAATAAACATCAGTTCTTTATTTTCTGTATATACTAAAATATAACTATGAGAAAGAACCTACATCTCTCACAATATATGAGTTAAATACTAGCTTACCAACAATATCTATCTAAACTATATTAGAAAAGCAAATTTAAAACTAATATGTTGTTTAAATAGTTGCACGACAGGCCATGCGATTTGTAGGAAAATAAAATAAAAGTAAAAAAAATTCTAGTACATATTAATATTAAACAGAACTTTTCATATCATAATTTTGGCTCACACAGCTATAAGGTCAGAGGGGGTTAACATAGATATGTACTTCCTAGTAAATACTCCTAAACTATAATCTTTGGTTGGCACAAATTATCAAATCTAGGGGCTTTAATGGCCAAGTGGGACGTGACTCCAAAATCTCCTAGTAGACACTTCAAAGAATTCGGTTGGCTTAAGCTGCCAAATCTAGGGGCAAAATTGCCAAGCAAGATGCAACTCCTACATATTCAGTAAGCTGTTAACACTACCATGATGGACTTATACATTAGTGTCCACATCATTATTCTCTTCAAAGTCATCTGATTAATATTAACATGTGATAAGAAGTTGTTAATAGTTGTTATTGTTGTTGGTGTTGTTGTTGTTAATATTATTGTGGCTGTAAATGATGCGATTTTGATGAAGTGATTGGTTGAGATAAAATATTGATCTTTTGATGGGGGTAAACTGATTTCAGTTTTTGTTATGAGGGAAAGAAAAAAGTATATGAAAAGAAAAGGGGAGAACGAAAAAAGAGTAAACAACTTAAAAGTTTCCTAAGAAGAAAATTTTCAAGCACAGAAGGAAGAATGGGAAAGAGTTTTTTTTTTTTTTTAATTTTTATTAAATTATTTTATTTTAAATTTATATTTATATATAATATATTAGTTTAAGCTATTATATTTTCAATTAATTATTTAATTCAAATTAATATAATTTGTATTTTTAAAAATAAAAAATAAATTTAAACAATATTAATTAATTTATTATATAATAAAATATAAAAATTTATTGTCAGCTATAATTATTTTTTTTAAAATTAAAATATTTATTAACATAATTTATTTTATTTAATAAAATTTGACTATTAAATTTTTTTTATCAAATCTTCAAGTGTATGTAATACAAATAAATCTTACTACAATTGATTGTATTGATATTTTATATGGATTTCTTTTTTATTGTTTTTTTTTTATTTTTTTATTGCAGTTATAATTTTTTTGAAATATAACAAAATAATATAATTTTTGCATGTGTTATTAACTAATTAAAGCAAGTTGTTATTGTATTAGTTCAAGGTTTTTTATTAAAGATAATATTGATACAGCTCCAGTAGCTAGTAGCTTAATTTTTTAAAGTTAAATATACAAGTTTTAGTTTAAGGTTTCTTATTGAAGGCTACTTGTATATTTAAATAGCAGAAAGTTACTAAATATTATCAGTTAATATTATTAATTGACCAGTATTTCTCTTCTACTTACTATTTAATATAACTTGTTTTTGTTTTTTTGTTGCTTATATTGTATTCCTATATTAAGTTTTTAATTTAAATATAAAATTATTTTAAATAAAAACACTTGCATGGTTTTTATACTTGTTTTAGTAAATAGAGATATACATATACAGTATATATATGTTAAACAATAAAATTAAATATTAATTAAATATTAAAATATAAAAATTAAAAATAATCTTAAAAACAGCAAGTATAAAAAAATATTAAATTAAATGAAACAATATAGATATATGCTTTTTTGCTTATAAAAAAATAACTATCAAGATGTTTTAATTAATCTATATTATATTCTTTGCTTTATTTAATAAACATTTTTTTAATTAATATTTTTGGATAAATTTATATTAAAGATGTTTAATTAAGTAATGCTGTTTACTTTAATTATAATTACAGTCAGTAAATATATTTTCATTAATATTTTTTGAGCAAATTCTTATTAAAAATGTTTAAATTGATCTGAGTTATCTTTACTTTTATCAGGCATATATAGTTTCATTAATATTTGTTAAATAAATTTATATTGTAAGTGTATTTATTTATTTGATATAAGTTCTTTATTTTAACTGTGATTACAGACTATAGGCATATTTTATTAATATTTGTTGAGTAAATTTATATCTATGATATTTTAATTGATCTGAGTTTTATTTTACTATTACAAAGTATGCATATTTTTATCAATATTTGTTAAGTAAATTTATATTAAGGATGTTTTAATTGAATTGAATTATATTTCTTATTTTAGGGTGTAAACATATTTTTATTGATATTTGTTAGGTAAATTCTTATCAAATTTGTTTTAAATAATTCAAGTTATATTCTTTACTTTTAGTGGGCAAGCATGTTTTTATTAATTCTTGCTGAATAAATTAATATCAAAGAAGTTTAATTAATCTGAGTTATATTCTTTATTTTAATTATAATTTCAGGCAGTAATAATATCTTTATTAATATTTATTGAATAAATTCATAAAAAGATATTTAAATTGATTTGAATTATATTATTTACTTTAATTACAATTACCGATTGTAAGAATATTTTCTTTAATATTTTATTAATATTTGTTAAGTAAATTTATATCGAAGTATTTTGTTGATCTGAGTTATATTCTTTACTTAACTACTATTACAAAAGGTAAGCATATTTCATTAATATTTGCATATCAAAAATAATTTAATTAATACGAGTTATATTCTTTACTTTAACTAGAATTACAGAATATTTCATTAATATTTGTTAAGTAAATTCTTGTCAAATGTGTTTTTGATTGATCTGAGTTATATTCTTTATTTTAACTATGATTACAGACTGTAAGAATATTTATTAATATTTGTTAAGTAAATTTATATCAATGATGTTTTAATTAATCTAAGTTATATTCTTTACTTTAGGGAGTATGCATATTTTCATTGATATTTGTTGGATAAATTCATATTAAAGGTGTTTTAATTGATGAATTATATTCTTTACTTCAATTACAATTACATATAATAATATTTTTATTAATATTTGTCAAGTAAATTATATCAATAGTGTTTTAACTGTTTTGAGTTGTATTCTTTATTTTAACTATAATTCCAGACGGTAAAAAAATTTTCATTAATACTTGTTGAATAAATTTATATTAAAGTATTTAGTTAATCTGAGTTATATTTTTTATTTTAATTACGATTACAAGTAGCAAGTATGTTTTCATTAGTATTTACTAAGTAATTTCATAGAAAAAGTAATTTGTTTGATCCAAGATATAGTATATTCTTACTTTTAGCAGGTAGATATTTTTTAAATTATATTTTTTGAATGAATCTATATTAATTTAATTAATTTACAGTATATCCTTTATTTTTAACAGATAAACATATTGTATATTTATTAATATCTATTAACAGATTTATATTAAATGTGTTCTTATTGATTTGAGTTATGTTCTTTATTTTCAATAGATAAGTATACTTTTGTTAATATTTGTTAAGTAAATTTGTATCAAAGGTGTTAAATTAATATAAAGTATATTCTTTACTTTAATTATAATTATAAGCAGTAAACATTAGAGTATTTCATATACTAAATAATTAAGTATATATAAGGAACTATAGTAAAAATTACTAATAAAGATTTTTTACATATTGTTTAATAATTATGTATCCATGTAGATCTAGATATATTCCCTACAATATTATTTGACCAATAAGAATTCAAAATCTGTATGTAATAATAAAATATTGATTGTTAAGATACAAATAGTTTGTTAAAAAGATTATTGGCATTCTGTTCTCGTTGACTATCTGAGTAGAAAATTAATGGTGTAGAGTTTTGTTTATAAATTATTCTATTTTCATGTCAAATATTTTTTAATTGTTGATCAGTAAATTGAAATTCATTAGTTGTTGAAAGACGCATTTTGGATTGTTGAGTATCAATCATCATATTTGGGTGAGTTTTTAAATCCCACTTATTAAATAAGCCTTCAATTTGTTGTTAGTAAACAATAATATACCAAATTCTGTTTTTAACAAAGTCATAGAGCCGTGGATATTGGTGAAGCGAAGCAGTTAACTCACAAATAAATGAGTTAAATTCTTGAAAAAACTTTTCATCAGTTAAGGTATCTTTAAAACTAAAATTGTTAAAGTTTTCTTCCATAATATCTGTTTCAAGAAATTTTGTGTAACAAATTTCTTTTAAGCTAGGAACTTTTGGCCAAGATTTTTTAAGTACAACATTCCAATAGCTACGTGCAAATTGTTGTGCATTATTTCTACCAAGACAACACATACCTAAGGGAAGATGGAGCCAACAATTTAACCATTTTCCTTGTTCTAATTTTTGAATAAATAATTTAATTCTTAAATTATTCATAATTTTTGTACTTTGTAAAAATTCATTTCCAAAAAATATCTAAAGATTTTCCAAGATATTGTAAGCTTATATGTTGATTGAATAATAAAGTCCAGCATTTGATGTGCTCGGCGACCAGATAATAAACATTTTAATGAATTATCTGACTGTATTACTCGTGGTTGAGGATCATAACCGACAAGGAATTTAGCAAATGGTTGATAAAATTCTTGACCGAATTTAACTAAACATTGTATCTCAATATTTAATTCAAGGTTGTCTAGCCAATTTTGAAAAAGTTTCCATTTTTTAATATAAGAGCTTGGAATTTTTTTTAGATTCTTTAGCTTTGGAAGAAACCATGTAACAAATTTAATATGTGCATTACATCTTCCAAGGTATTGTTTAGCTGTAATTAATTCATATTGCCATCTTGATCATAAAGGATGTTGGTATTTATCTAGCTGATAGTCAAGCCATTCTTTATAAAGACTTTTAATTATTTTACCTCTCATATTTAGCGGTGAATCTCTATCACTGTAATCATAACCATAATGTAACATCCATGCCAAATAAAGAAGATTAAATAGGTGCTGTGTTTTTGAAAATCCAGTACTTATTGGAAGTTTACCAAAGGCCATTTCTTCAAAATTATTTAAAACTAAATGTAATACATGTAATCCATAAGGAATCCGGATACAATTACTATTAATCAACCAATTGAATTTCATTACGGCACCTTCAGTATGACCACTCATGTAATTTGTATTGTTGGAAAGGAAAGTAAAGCATTGTGAAAGATTAAGATTATATTTTGTGCAAGATTCAAAAAGAGCTTTACTAATTGTATCAGCATTACAATGTTGAAGATCCTTTGTTTCCAAAAGTAAGACATCAGGTATATTTTTTGTTGAGTTCCAGAACATAAAACAATTTACTAATATTTTTTTTTCGCCTCAACTTGATTCATCTACCATTATTCCAAATGTAAAATAAATTGATTGATTGGCTTGCTGAAATATGTTTCTAACATGTAATTCTGATACCTCGTGATGCCAACGGTTAATTGTTGCAGCAGAGATCCAAGATTGTAAATCATCTTCTATTAAAAAATTAAAAATGGTCTTCATACTAGTTGCAACGATATTAAAAGATATTTGACCGATTTGAGAAACTTGTACGGCAAGATTGATAAAGTTTGTGCTATATTCTTTTTTATTTTTTTAATCAAATTTCTAATTGCATTTTTTATATTATCACCTTTTAATATAGGTGGATGTCTAGCATGGCATGAATTTTGGATATATGTTGGTGATTCTTGTACTTAAATTGTGCAATGGAACCATTGAGTTTTCAAACTTTGTGAGTTATGCAATCCTTAGATCGTTGCAATTGTTTAAAGTTCTGTTTAAGTTGTTTGTTAACATTGTTCAATACATCTATTGATTTTCCAGGTTTGTAAAGAGAGTCGGATATGTAATTAGATGCCTTTTTTTGAAGATAAGGAGAAACGATTCGGTCTTTGTTCTTTCCATGTGGATATTTCATAGTACGCAAAAGATGGGATGTTGATTTAAGATCTGTTTCTGGCATAACATTAAGAGAATGAATTATTGTATTATATGTAGAAGTATTCGTGTTTGAGTTACAGTATTAAAAACTTGATCATATATAATTTTAAGTTCGGAAATAGTAATTTTTTTTAAGTGATTTATTATCTCATTAATAAGTTTTTCGCGCTGATCTATTTCACGCTTTTTGGCCAGTGATTCAAGTGTACCTTTTAATTGCTTTTTGCGTTTAGAAATTTGAGGCATGTTGAGTTAAACAAAATCAAGGTTAAAATGATGAATACTAAAATTATTTTAAAATTTACTCGCACTACATTTTTAAATTTTTATTAACAAAAGCCAATTCAAAACAAAAGCATATTTTTTTTAGTTAAATAATGAATTACAACAAAAGTTAAATCTTAAAAAGATTAGCATTAAACTCATTACAATCACAATCTTAAATTTTTGGTTAGCAAAGAATTTGTAATAAACGCTTACGATTTTTTTGATCAATAATAACAAAAGTTAAACTTAAAGGCATCAGCATTAAAACTATCAACAAAACTTACAATAAAACTTACATACAATATGATAAAACATTTCTTTACACAATTACGGTTCTAAATTTTTGGGTATTAAAGCCAATTCGTAACAAACCTCATCTTTTAACTAGAATATATATAGCGAAACAAAAGAAAAAAGTCTCACTAATGTAATAGTTAAAAATGGTTTATTAATTAAAATTTTTAAACCGTAACTTTATTTGGCTATACTATGACAATTGTTTGCTACTAAGGTTATTAGAAAAAAATCATTAGTACACGAATTGAAGTAATTTTTTGAACGCTTTTTTTAATAGTAAAAACGTATAGATTTTGTCGATCAATATTAGGCATAAAATCTGATAGTAACGTCATTATTACTGCACCTTACATAATCTTGACTAATCTTTAATTAATCTTTAACTACAGTTACAGTCGCTAAGTATATTTTTATTAATAATTATAGAAATCGATATGACTTATTACAGTATAGTAATTGTGACCTGTAAATGGCAAGGTAACTGTATAATCGTGATTTTTTTTCAAATCAATAAAAAGTCGATAATTACAAATTTTTTTACAGAGAAAACTATTCCAATAGAGAAATGAATTTTCCAGTGGAGTTTTCTGAAGAAACAAAAAAACAAGTCGCTTTATGGCGTGATATTATTCAAAATAAACATAGGGATGATGGCGATGAAATTTTTTGTAACGACCCATTATTAATAATCGAATATAATCAACCGGGTCTCGCAGTCAGAAACATCACGGAAAATGATGTTAGCGCAGGTATAACCATAAATATTACATAATCCATTAAAAAAGTTCTCTAACTATTTTTTTGATTAGTGATCAGAGGAACTCCAAACTATATTCCTATCGTATTTCCAAGGGCAGACCTGGTACAATCAAATTCTGTATTCGCATTTAACGATATGCAGACAATGGAAGATGCTATTGCACGATTATTTGATAACTATAATAACTTTGTGACAGGACGACAAGATCCTATTGTTGGACGGGTATATTGGGTGCAATTTCGCAGGGACAATACATTTGAAGTTTGTGAACGAGGACATGTTTTTAATTGATATTACCTTTTCTATCTTAGCTTTTTTTTGTTATAAATTGAAGTAGAGATTTTTTTTTGCATTAAGTAATCTTTATGTTAATAATATTTTGAATGTTGAGCTTACTACTTGTTAATTCATAGCATATAAATAAATAACTGGAAACTGAATTATTTTTGCGGAATATATGCTTACTGAAAAAATAATTACCTGATTAGTAAATCATAGAAGTATTTAAGACCAATTCTCGAAAATGCTCTGGGATAACTATATATGGATCTTCATAATACCAGACATACCTTAAAGCAATCCAGTTTTCTTCGCACAATTCTTTCTTGAGTTGATCTTGCTCTTGCTGTTTAATAAAATTATTGGGATCACATTATGAAAGAATTCGATGTATTTTTCGTGTTACTGTCCTTGTACTTCGATTGCAAAGCAATATTCTGGATAATAAACATCAATATGTAAACCATTTGGATGTTCTGGGGTTTTGAGAAATTCAGGTTGACGTATCCTAGATGGGAGTCCAAGATATTTTGATACAATTTCTCGACATAAATTTTCGCGTTTATACTTAGAGCAATATGTGCACCAACTGTTTTTATATTTTATACTACTGAGAGAAGCATACCATTTATGTTTTTTTTCACATCTCCAAAGTAAACGCGTTCTATTATCAATATACTGTATACGTCTCTACAACATTCTCCATTTTTATTATATGCCAAAATATTAGCATATTTAATGCCAAGTTTGCAGAATTATATATACAATATGGACACCATCTATGGTTATTTTTTATGTTATGAAAAGTGTCATACCATATATGCCCTTAAGAACATTTCCATCGTAATTGCTCAGTAGCTTTTTGAAATTTTTCAGAAATACATTAGTCTGAGCGAATTGTATTACATATTTAAGAATATATCGACCTACTTTTGCACACCATGTACAGCATCTTCGATTATTTTTATATTATTAAGATTTGCAAACCATTCATGTTGTTTATCACAACGCCAATACAATAGCTCTTTGCAATTAATATAGAACCTAGAAAGACATTATCCTCCACGAGATTGTGCTATTGCAATATTTAAAGATGATTTTTGAGCCATTGATGATTTGTAAAATTGTTATTCTAAATAATTATTTTATCTTTAAAATATCTATAATTACGAGATCAATTGCTGAGTTAAAAAAGAATTAGATATTTTATGGTGATAATTATTGAAATACAATGAAAAAACTTTTGGTAAATTTATGTGAAAATTTACTATAGAGCATTAAAAGTGGATTAATGAAAAAAGAAGTTATAATATGAGGTTGAAAAAAAGAAGATAGGTGGAAAAATTCCTAACATATTCAAAATTACATTCTATTCATTAGAAAGATTTAAGGGTGTATCCCAACCAAGCCATATGTTTAAGGGATTGTTTACTGGTTTAATAAAATTGATACCACAAATTTTTGATCTCACAAATGTTTGTCAATAAACTTGAATATCTTTTTTGGATTATCTGTATATTGACATACAATTCTATCAATATTGTTTCTAATACCCAAGTTCTGACCTGAAATAAGTATAAATGTAAAATATTTTCACAATTTATTTTAGGTGTTTGGGTATATTTCTGACTTATATACAGTGTGTAACAAAACTTTTTGGAATTTTATTTACGTGACATAAATGTGAATAACTTTTTCAAAACAAA